GTGCCCAAAGGCACTCAGCTTTCTCTCTCCATAGGCCGGGAAGCCCACCTGCTGTTTCCTGCTGTGGATCTCTCCTTCCTTGCTGGTGGTGGTGGTGGGCCCCTCCCTTCTCTGGAATTGGCTCTCTTTTAAGGCAAAACTGACCAATCCCCTTGGTAGGCCACAATTACTCTGTCACACAGTGACCTGGGTGGGAGTTACAAGCCCATGGCTAGAGAGGCCACACACAAAAGTAATTACTCGCACCGCAGACATCATTCCATATCAGTCTATTTAATGCTGTCTCTTCCTTTGTAACAACTACATGGTATTCCTTCCTATAGATGTATCCTACTTTCCTTCTATTTTCTTCCTTTTCTCCTTTCTTCCTTTTCGTCTTTCTTTCAGTCTCTCCCTCCCGTCTATTTCTACCCCTCCTTTTGAATTAAATAATCCAATTCAAACAACAGTGTGCTGCCATGTTAGGAGAATTTTTAGCTGGTATTTAACATTTATTTTGAAAGGCTAAAGATTTAATTATTTACATTTTAGATTCAGGCTGTTTTTTACAGAAGGAATTAGCATCATCCTTATGTAGGAATATGTATTTTAAGACCTTTTGTTTCTAACTTTCTGACTAGAGTTTTCCAGAGGGAAAAAACTTAAGAGATTGTGTGTTTTTTCCTCTATTCTCATAGACCTTAGTTCATATCCTAATTTTCTTCCTGTTGTACTCATAATTTATTTAACTAGTCCTCTGGGTTGTACATTCACTGTTGTCTGTGTTTTTTCAGTATATCATTTCATATACATGCAAATATATTTGAAGGATAATGTTCTAGTATTAGAATTGCTGAGTTAAAGGGGATATGCATTTACAAAATTGATAGATACTGGCAAATTGTCCGCTATAAAGATGAAACCAATTTACACTACCACAACCAACATATAAATGCCTGTTTTCCAACACTAGTTCCAACACGGTGTATTATTATTGAGCTTTATCCATCTGATGGAAAAGGAGAAATCTGATTATAATTTTCACTGGCATTTCTTTCAAGTATGAGGATGAACAGAGCCTTTTTTGTTTCCTTTTCTGTCAGCATATCCTTTATGTGTTTCTCTGTTGAGTTCTTGGTCTTATTGATTTGTAGGTGCTCTTAACATACTAAGAAAAGCAAACCCTTGATGTGATCTGAGTGTTTTTTTTTCCTATTATGCTTGACTTTTGTCAAAAAAGAATTGTCTTATGTTTTGTAATAGTTTTTTGCAACTTATTTTAATTGCCATGTACAAATATTTTTAAGAGGTCATATTTATTAGTTTTTTATGGCTTTTGGATTTTTTCTTATTCTTACAAAGACACTTCCAACCCTAAGATTATTAAAACAAAAACAAATCCTGTCTTTTCTTCTTAAATATTTGGAGTTTCATTAAAAAATTTTTGGTCCATTTGGCCTTGGGTTTAGTAGGTGACATTCTTAGCGATAGAGCTGTCTGTTCGTATACCAGTGCCATTTTTTAAATGACTGTAGCACTGTAATGTGTTTTTAAAATATTGTAGGACTTTTTTGAGATTTTACTTTGTTTATACTTGTTTCTTTTTCCACATGAACTTTAGAATCATTATGTACAGTATTTGAAAAAGCTCTGTTTTAACTGAGCTTACATAACATTTAAAGATTAATTAGGGAGAAATAATCATTTTAATTTTGACTCTTATTATTTAAGAACATGATATGACTTTTCCTTTGTTCAAGTAATTTTTCATGCTCAATAGTTGCATTTAGAATTTTCTTTGTATAGTTCTTATTTTTTTCTTGTAAAGTTTATTCTAATCATCATTTTTGTTATTATAAATGGGAGTGTTTTCTTTCACTGTGTCTTCTAACTGGTTATTTTTGTAGAAACTTACTGATTTCAGTTTATTAATTTTATATGCAGCTACTTTATAAAATTCTTCTATTCTTGGTACTAGTTTGTAGTCTTTTTTTTCTTAGATTTTCCAGTATCCACTTATTTCATTTGAAAATAATTGTAATTTATTTCCTCATTTCTATTTTTGTACTTACTTCTTTCTTGACTAATTATGTTGTCAGCACCTCCAGAACTATGTTAAAATATTTGTGGTAAATAATGAATATCCTTGTTTTCCTGCTGGTTTTATTGCCATTGCTTTTAGGATTTCCCCAGTGTGCATGGTACTGACTTTTGGATTGAGATTGCTTGTATCTTATCATATTAGGATTGTTAAGCTGGTATAGTGCTTGTTTCATAAAAAACTGAATCTTAAATTGACAAAAGTTGCAAGGGCAGTACAAAGAATTTTTTTTTCCTGAACACTTTGAGGGCAAGTTGCCAATGTGATGTCCCATTGCCTCCTACCAAAAACTTTAGTGTTTATTTCCTGCAAACAAGTACTCTCTTATATAACCACATTTCGTCAAAGTCAGGAAATTAACATGAATACATTACCACCGTCTAATCCCCAGACCCCATTCATGTTGTTCTAGTTGTCCCAATAATGTGCTTTTATAGCTAAATCCAGTCTAGTGTAATGATTGCAGGTCCCTGGGTGGTGCAAGTGGTTTGCCCTCGACTACTAAAAGTTGGTGGTTTGGACCCACCCAGCAGCATCAAGGAAGAAAGGTCTGGTTATCTACTTCCGTAAGGTTAAAGCTGTAGAAAACCCTGTGGAGCACAGTTCTACACGAAAACACAGGGGGTCGCCATGCATCAGAATTGACTTTGACATCAACAGTTTTTTGTCATGCATTGCATTGAGTTTTTATGTCCTTTTAGTCTCCTTCAATCTGGAGCAGTTTTTCTTTGACTTTCATGGTCTTACACTTTCAAAGATTACAAGCAAGTTAATGTAAAAATGTCTTTCAGTTTGAGTTTGCCTGATGGTTCCTTATGATTTGTTCCAAGTTACACATCTTTGGTAATATCACAGAGGTGATACACCCCTTCCTATTACTCTTTTTTGTTTGCCCTTTCCAGACACCATCTTTTTAATAATTCTGGGCCTTCTATTTTTTATTAAATGTTTGACTAATCAGATATGGGAATTGATAAGAGGATAGGAAAACAAATGTAGTTTTATTAAAGGTATTTTAAAGAGAGTATAAAATTGTAAGCCCAGGTGTTGTTTGGCCAGACAGGTTGGGCTGTCATTTCCTTTTGTATTTTTATCAGCTTTAAATGCACGTGGTATTATTCTGCTTAGTTGAAATAATGATCTCATTGCAGAATATTTCATTTCAAAAGGTTTTATGATCCCTAAGGTATAAATAGATAATGTAGGTATTGAATCGTTTTCGAACTACTTCAAATTATTTCAATAAGATAAAAATAATCCTACTTCTAATCGCAATGTAAATTTTTAGAGCTCATTGAAATATAACAAAAGCATAATGGTACCTACGTCTTGAGGCTTATATGAAGCTCGGTGAGTTGGATTTTATGTTTATTATGGCACTGAGTAAGTAGAAATGAGTCTCATTCAAACTAAGTAGAATTAGGTTTGATAGCTCACTCACTAAACCTTAGTTAGATAATCTCCACAATTCCTTAGAGATGTGGTATGTGGCACGGTCATCCTTAAATGTAATGTTCTTACTTAAATGGAAAGTACTGTGTCTTAGTGGCTTAATATAATAGAAACAAAGAGACGGAAGCAAGTGAGAATGATGAAATTGATAGCTATCCTTGTTGTTAGTTGCTGTGGAGTTGGCTCTGACTCGTGACGACCCCATGTACAACAGAATGAAACGTTGCCCGGTCCTAGTCCATCTACACAGTTGTTCGTATGCTTGAGTCCATTTTTGTGGCCATTGTGTCTTTTGAGTGCGTTTCAGCCCAGAGGGCCCATATTCCAGCACTTTATCAGATAGTATTCTATTGTGATCGATGGGGTTTTCATTGGCTAATATTCACAAGTAGATTGGCAGGCCTTTCTTCCTAATCTGTCTTAGTCTGGAATCTCCACTAACACCTGTCCTCCATCGGTGACCCTGTTAGTATTTGAAATACCGGTGGCAGAGCTTCCAGCATCATAGCAACACACCAAACCACCACAGTATGAGAAAATGACAGATGGGAGCTATCCTTGAAGGCCCTGAAATAGACCTCCTACCCTACTCATAGAGGCGTATGAGTTACTTTAACAGCATAGTAAAGTAGTTTAGATTCCTTAGATGGAAGGTATTATTTCTCTTTTTAAATGCCTGTTTTAATGATTCTGGAGAGCAGCTCTTTCTTAACCTCTCTGTTTTACTGAAGACAAGAATTTTAGTGAAACAGAGAGATTAGGAAAGAGCTGCTCTCTAGAATCATCTAGGGTTAAAATATAGGGTTTGTAAAAGTAATTCTTTGGAGGGGCCAGGAATAGGTGGAGGGCCATTGCTCAGATTTTTCTGTTTCCAACTTTCACTTTTATTTCTGCATATTAAATTTCCTAAAAGGGGAGTGGGGTGAAGGGTGGGGATTGAGAAAAGGAAGCTATTTATTATCTATAGGGGAGGTCCAGGATAAAGTCACTCAAGACAAGGAATCTATCATACACTTTAAAAATGCAGTGACACTCTGAGAACTCTTAATTTGCAAGGAGATTATAAGAATGCAAGATTTTACTTTTGGCCTTTTCCCCGTCTTCACTGTTTATAAAAAGACTTCCCCTCAGTGCCTTAAAAGACAAACACCTGAGCAAGCTAGTACTGTACCCTTGCATATGTCTGTGCTTTCAGTTATAGACTCTTAGAGGATATGGACTACATGCTGTAACATCTCTAGTCTAAAGTAAAATGAATATAGATGTCTTTTTTTTAGTTAAGTTCAAGCCATTTTTTTCCTTGCAGTCAGTGTTTTCTGTATATTTACATACTTCGTGACAGAAATATAAAGGAAATATTTTTGTATCTTTTTTATCCTGTCTTCCAAAGGTTCTTTCCTCAATGGAGTTTTTAAAAAAGAAATTCATTTGGGCTAAACTGACTTTTGTCTTTCTCTTCTCTCCTCAGGCCCAGATTGCCTTTCTTCAGGGAGAAAGGAAAGGTCAAGAAAATCTGAAGAAAGATCTGGTGAGGAGGATCAAAATGCTGGAATATGCTCTTAAACAGGAAAGGTAATTTAGTAAAATGGAAGATAGTATTCCCTGAAATGACTGAATAATTCTGTCATTCTTTAAACAAATCAGAATTTTAAAACTTTAAATTGTTTAATTCAGGAAGGCGTATCTGTTGTAAACATTTTTATGAATGGTTGTAATATGTCAATTTTATTATGAATAGTTTAATAATAGTAATGATCAATACATTGATTTATATGATTTAAAAAATTCTAGCAACTTTTTTTCCCTGCCTTGCCCTTCCTTAACAAACTTAAGTACTTTCTGAAATATTAGTATCTTTTTTTTTTATGGAGTTGAAGTAGTATTTAAATTGTAAAGTAAATCTCTATAATGTTTATTCCTTTCCCTATCATCTAATACTATTCAATTAGATGTATTTCTTAGAGAAAAAAGTTGCTCTGGCAGACTAAGTTGAGATTCTTTTTATAGACTTTGTTTTTGTATTTTGTTCCTTTGCTGTAAGCTCTCTCCAGAAGCTAATCCTACCTTTCTATTTTGCTAGTGTTGTAAGATAATTAATTAACCTTGGGTCACAATTAAAGGAAAATAAGTCATGAATGTGAGTTTTGGGAATTATCAAATGAATTAAATTTATATGCTTTAACACATGATTTTTCGATTTTTTTTTTTGTTAGCAATCTGAGACAGTTGTTTGGTTTTAGGTAGTTGAATACTTGCTAAGTAATGTTAGAATTCTCTGTTTTGCTTCATTTTTATGTCACTTGGCATGTTTTCCTCATCCTTTTTAAGTTGCACAACTGCCATAAAGTAACATTAGCAGATGATATTGATGAATATCAAATACAACGACTTCTGCCCCAACCACCCAGAATTAGGCCAAACTTCAGAGGTTAAAGGGCACAGTCCCCCACAAGATTGCCCTCATTTCACACACCAGCTTCAAGCTTAGGGTTTCCCAGGTCACCCCCATTTCTGACCAGGTAGCTACAAATTTGGAGTTTCCCATTACACTCTCAGGTTTGACAATACACTGGAATGACTCCTAGAACTTAGGAAAGTGCTATACTTAAGATTACAGTTTTATTATGGAAAAAGGAAAGTCCAAGGATTTAGAGGCTGCATCCCACGAACTAGGGACAAAGGCCAGTCGAATTTTTTATTATACATCAAGAAATAGGTATTGATAGAAATTTTATTAGAACTTATGTTCACCTTCATGGGGGATATTTAAATGGCAGAAGAGACTGAAAACAGGTTGACCTCTTAGTGAAAAATAGATAGTTCTTTTCATACCATGGGAAATCACTGGTTAATGTGCTTGACTGCTAACTGAAAGTTTGGCAGTTCGAGTCCACCCAGGGGTGCCTTGGAAGAAAGGCCTGGTGATCTGCTTCCAAAAAGTCAGTCTTTGAAAACCTATGTTGCACAGTTCTACTGTAATACACATGGAGTTGCCATGAGTCAGAGTTGACTTGAGGGCAGCTGGGTTTTTTTTTCATGCTTTGATAGGTTGGATATAGATGGAGAGATGAGGGGAAAAACTTTTAAAAGTATGTAAGTTGGTAGTATTTTGAGATGGCTAAATTATAGACATAACCAAAGAAAAAGAATAATGACATCAGTAATACCAAAAACCAAACCTGTTGCTGTCAAGTCGATTCCGACTCACAGCGACACTATTGGACAGAGTAGAACTGCACCGTAGGGTTTCCAAGGCTGTAAATCTTTACGAAAGCAGACTGCCACATCTTTTTTCTGTGGAGCAGTTGGTGAGTTTGAACTGTTGACCTTTTGATTAGCAGCCAAGTGCTTTAAAACATTTATAATAGCAACTATTTATTGAGTAACTACTGTATACGAGGCCCGGAGGCTTAAAAACAGTAGTTTGCGCAGTCGCAGAGCTATAGTAAAGCTGTGATTCAGATTCATGAATGACTCCTGGGTTTCTGACTTGAGAGACTCTGTGTATTATGAGTGAGAGTTCTGGAGTTATCAAATGAAATAAAGATAAAGAATAAGCTTGAAGAGTAGATATGCGAGGGGTACTCATGACTAGAGATGTAGAGTTGGGAATCACTAATGTGGGTGAAGTGATAGGAGTAATTGAGACAAGTAATACAGCAAGTCTTGTGGGAAAAGAAGAGAGAATTAGCAAGAACCACAGGGAGTAGCAACATTTGAAAAAAAAAAAAAAAGCAGAGGAACAAGAAATAACAAAGGAATGTTAGAGAAGGCAGAGAGTAGTATTTTGAAAACAAGTTAAAGAAAGAGGGAGCTGAGCAGTGTCAGATACCAGATTCCATGTAAGTTGTGTGCTGCAAATGGTCATTTGGAGTTGCCAGTTGGGAGCTTGTTGGTATTGCTGACCAGAGCAGCTTCAGTGAGGTATCAGGAACAGAAACCAGATCACAGGATTGAGGGGTTAGAAGGAGTAAAGTGGAAACAGATACAGTCACTTATTCTTCCAAGAGGTTTCAGTTTGAAGGACAGGAAAGAGAAGACATTGGCAGGTTTAGGGAAGCTTTTTTCCTTCCCCTTAACTAATGGGATGCTCCTGGAAAAGAATATCAGACTTTGTATCCTTTTGAAGTTCATAGAATTGTTAGGATTATTCTTGATGTAATGACACTAAATGCAATAAATTAAGGAATAAGAAAGAATTTTCTTTTCTTTTTTGTTTTTAATTGTACTTCAGGTGAAGGCCTACAGAACAAATAGTTTCTCATGAAACAGTAGTACACATATTGCTCCATGACATTGGTCAACAACCCCACAACATGTCAACCCTCTCCCTTCTCAACCTTTTTTTTTTTTGTTTTTTTTGGTGAAAATACACATAGCCAAAGATACACCATTTCAAAAATTTCTACATGCACAGTTCAGTGACATTGACTACGCTCTTCTAATTGTGC